TGTGACTTCCAAACTATTGTTTGGGGACCATGAAATTGACTCGTGTGAGGGTGTGCAACAGGGGGACCCTCTCGCCCCCTTTCTATTTTGTTTGGTTATCAAGGAAGTCACGGAGGCACTCTCCAGCGAGCTCAATATCTGGTTCCTGGACGACGGTACCCTGGCTGGCACAACAGAATCTCTCCTGGAGGACATCAGTAAAATTAAAGACATGGGAGAAAGCATGGGCCTTTCTTTAAACCCCACCAAATGTGAAATAGTTTCTACCAATCAACAGTTGATCCAGAATATTAGTACCGTTTTACCAGGAGCACGAGCCATTGATCCAGCCAATAGCACTCTCCTCGGTGCTCCTCTTGGGTCCGATGCCATCGATCTGGTCCTAGGAAAAAAAGTCTCAGACCTCCGGACGATGGAAAGCAGGATGAAAGACATTGACACACACGATGCCTTCTACCTACTCACCAGGTGCCTGTCAACCCCAAAACTTACCTATTTTCTGAGATGCTCCCCAGCCTTCAGCAGTCCAAAACTCAAGGAATATGACTCTCTCCTGAAGGCCATGCTAGAGAGTGTATTGAATCTTTCATTTGACGATGGACAGTGGTTGCAAGCCTCACTTCCGGTCAGGCTTGGAGGGCTAGGAGTACGCAGATCCTCCCAGATTGCTCTACCAGCTTTCCTATCCTCTTCCATTTCATCAAACGAGTTGATAAGACAAATTCTTCCTGACACCCTCAGTGACTTAGCAGGAATAGAAGACCCTAGCTATGTCAGTGCCATCACCGAATGGGAGACTCTTGCTGCTCCAGCACCAAACCCTAGTGCAGCACTGGCTCACAAACAGTCAAGCTGGGATAGCCCAATTGCTGAAAAGGTGCTTGCCAACATGCTCAGGGCTGCAACATCAGATAGGGAGATTGCCCGTCTCCAGGCTGTGAGTGCACCTCACTCCGGGGACTTCCTCCAAACAGTTCCCATATCGGCAATGGGAACGCGACTCGACCCTAAGACCCTCCGTATTGCAGTGGCTCTGCGCCTTGCTGCCCCAATTCACACAGAATATATGTGTATTTGCGGCGAAGTGCAAGCAGACCAATACGGTCTACATGGTCTTAACTGTTCCAAAACCAAGGGCTGGCATGCAAGACACAATGAGGTCAACGACATCATTAAGAGAACCCTTGCTACAGCTGGATGCCCTGCCGAGAGGGAGCCACGATCACTTGCAGCAAACAATACCCACAACCCAGCAAACCGCCCCGACGGGATCACCATCTATCCTTGGAAGAATGGCAAGCTCTTAGCATGGGACTATACCTGTGTGTCCACACTGGCTGACACCTATATCCATCACAGTGTGGGGCGACAGGGAGGAGCTGCTGACCACAGGGAGGAGTACAAGATCAGCAAGTACAGGGACATTAGCCAACAGTATCAATTTGTCCCAGTGGATCAGAGACCTTGGGATCATGGGGAAAAAATGCCACACGTTTCCTTAAAGAATTGGGTTCCAGACTCATCGACACCACCAGGGACCCAAGGGCAGCCACTTTCATGTTCCAGCGCCTCAGCGTCGCCATCCAGAGGGGAAATGCTTGCTGCATACTTGGCTCACGTCCAGCCTCGGAGGAGCTGGAGGAAATTCATCATCTTTGATACATTGTGCCATTGTATTCATGTTTATGTTTTTTACTGTAAATGTATTTTGTTTATTAAAATATATATATATATATATATTATATATATATATATATATTATATATATTATATAATATATATATTTCTTTCTTTCTTTCAACACATCGGCCATATCCCACCAAGGCAGGGTGGCCCAAAAGGAAAAACGAAAGTTTCTCCTTTTACATTTAGTAATATATACAGGAGAAGGGGTTACTAGCCCCTTGCTCCTGGCATTTTAGTCGCCTCTTACAACACGCATGGCTTACGGAGGAAGAATTCTGATCCATATATATTATATATATATATATATATATATATATATATATATATATGTCGTGCCGAATAGGCAGGACTTGCGATCTTGGCTTAAATAGCAACGCTCATCTTGCCATATAGGACAAGTGAAAATTTGTGTATGCAATAATTTCGCAAAAATCACTCTGAACCTAACGAAAAAAGTATATTTCATTGTGTTTGTTTAGTATTAAATTATTGTAAACAAATCTAAAATATATTTAGTTAGGTTAGGCTAAAATAAATTGTTCTTGTTATAATAAGGTTAGGTAAGTTTTCTAAGTTTCTTTTGGTGCAAAATTAAAAAATTTTACATTAACATTAATGAAAAAAATATATCTTTAAATTTATAAGAGAAATTTTTAGAAAGGACTTAATTTTAAATGGGATCTTGGTAATTGACCAGTTATACATATTCGGCACGACATATATATATATATATATATATATATATATATATGTATATATATATATATATATATATATATATATATATATATATATATATATATATATATATATGTCGTGCCGAATAGGCAGAACTTGCGATCTTGGCTTAAATAGCAAAGCTCATCTTGCCATACCTGGATACCTGGAGATACCTGGAGAGAGTTCCGGGGGTCAACGCCCCCGCGGCCCGGTCTGTGACCAGGCCTCCTTAGGTCAGTGTCCCAGGATGCGACCCACACCAGTCGACTAACACCCAGGTACCCATTTTACTGATGGGGAACATAGACAACAGGTGGAAAGAAACACGTCCAATGTTTCTACTCTGGCTGGGAATCGAACCCAGGCTCTCACCGTGTGAAGCGAGAGCGTTAACCACCAGGCCACCAGAGCCCCATATAGGACAAGTGAAAATTTGTGTATGCAATAATTTCGCCAAAATCATTCTGAACCTAACGAACAAAATATATTTCACTGTATTTGTTTAGTATTAAATTATTGTAAACAAATCTAAAATATATTTAGTTGGGTTAGGCTAAAATAAATTGTTCTTTTTATAATAAGGCTAGGTAAGTTCTCTAAGATTCTTTTGGTGCAATATTTATTTTTTTTACATTAACATTAATGAAAAAATATATCTTTAAACGCATAAGAGAAAATTTCAGAAAAGACTTAATTTTAAATGAGTTCTTGCTAATTGACCAGTTTTACATATTCGGCTATATATTATATATATATATATATATATATATATATATATATATATATATATATATATATATCCCAGTCTTTCCCCTGATCCCCCCGCTCTCTCTCTTTCACCCTCCTTCTCCCCCTCCTCTCCATTTTTCCTTCTCTCCCTCTCCCCCTTTGCTTCTCCCTCCTCCTCTCTCCCAATATTTTTCCCTCAGTCCCCATCCCCACCCCTCTCTCATTTTGCCACTATCTCCATCGTCCCTCCCTCCGCCCCACAACACACTCGGACAAACAAACCACAAAACAAGCACGCAGAATTATATAAGTTTTTCATTCTGTGGCAACCAAAACAAAAAAAATGGGTTGCCAGAGAGCAGGAAGGAAAACCAGGAGATTGGAGGATGAGTCTGTGAAGGAAGACTGGGCAGAAGAGCTCATGAAAACTAAACATGAGTGGAGAAAGAAGCTAGAAGAGCTTAGCATGAGAATGGAAGAGAGGATAGATGCAGAAAGCAAGAATTGGGAGATGCAAGTCACAGCAGCAGAGGCTAAGATACAAAGATTAGAAGAGGAACTGAAATATCTGAAACAGCATAAAGAACTAAAGAACAATTTGGGAATGTCATCAGAGACTGCTGCCTCAGTCACAATGAAGGAGACTGTAGGGAACGAAGAAGTGAAACGGTATACTGAGGCTTTATAAGACCATCGTGGAGCTCAAGAAAAAAACAGAATCACATCAGGAGCAATCGAGGGGACGGAAAATGAAAGCGCTAAGCTATATGTGGAGTCCCTAACACACCACAGCAAAGTCCAAGGAAAGCTGAGAAGGGAAAATGACAAGCCAATGAGCCCAAGGACAACAGATAGTGAAGAAACTGAAGGAAGGAAAGCTGAAATAGAGGCAACTAAATCGAATCAGGGGATACATAAGGATATGCAGCGGGAGAATGAAAGGGAGATTTAACTGTTTAAATCGGAAGCTGCCACAGCGAAGACACAGTGTGACTCTTCATCTCATTGCTACTCACGGCTTCTATTGCTCACATCGTTTGCTTAATTTATCTGAATATAATTAGAATGTGTTGATTTTCTGCAAACTGCGAATTATAACTGAAATTCGATAATGAACTTTCCATTCGACTTTTAAATATATTGCTGGTAATAACTAATTAGGGTTATTAAAAAAAATATCAAACCTTCCCCATTCAATATCCCAATAAATACAAATATTTGCGTACCTATACTAAATAATATTAATTTGTACTTTAATAATGATTTCTTGAATATATGCTTTACATGTTCTCAAACTCACTTTGAGAACTTTTCCGGGAAGAGTGGGAGGTGTGAGGTGAGGAGGAGGCCACGACGAGGTGTCCAAGAGGCCACCTGCACAACCTGGGATCCCCGCGGACTATACGGCAGCTGGACGTAAACACTGCACCTGTAACACCAACTTATACACTAGTTCTTTGTTGAAAATACATTTAACATACATTGATATATATATATATGTGTGTGTGTGTGTGTGTGTGTGTGTGTGTGTGTGTGTGATTGTGTGTACTTACCTAGTTGTGATTGCAGGGGTCTAGTCATAGCCCCAGGCCCCGCCTCTTCACTGGCTGCAACCGGGTCACTGTTCCTGCTCCATACGCTTTATCATACCTCTTCTTAAAGCTATGTATGGATCCTGCCTCCATTACATCACTTACCAGACTATTCCACTTCATGACAACTCTGTGTGTGTGTGTGTGTGTGTGTGTGTGTGTGTGTGTGTGTGTGTGTGTGTGTGTGTGTGTGTGTGTGTGTGTGTGTGTGTGTGTATGTGTATGTGTGAGTGTGTGTGTGTGTGTGTGTGTGTGTGTGTGAGTGTGTGTGTGTGTGTGTGTACTCGCCTAATTGTACTTACCTAATTGTGGTTGCAGGGGTCGATTCATATTTCCTGGCCCCTCCTCTTCACTGGTCCCCAATACCTGGAGTTTACCTGGAGAGAGTTCCGGGGGTCAACGTCCCCGCGGCCCGGTCTGTGACCAGGCCTTCTGGTGGATCAGAGCCTGATCAACCAGGCTGTTGCTGCTGGCTGCACGCAAACCAACGTACGAGCCACAGCCCGGCTGGTCAGGAACCGACTTTAGGTGCTTGTCCAGTGCCAGCTTGAAGACTGCCAGGGGTCTGTTGGTAATCCCCCTTATGTATGCTGGGAGGCAGTTGAACAGTCTCGGGCCCCTGACACTTATTGTTTGGTCTCTTAACGTGCTAGTGACACCCCTGCTTTTCATTGGGGGGATGTTGCATTGTCTGCCAAGTCTTTTGCTTTCGTAGTGAGTGATTTTCGTGAGCAAGTTCGGTACTAGTCCCTCTAGGATTTTCCAGGTGTATATAATCATGTATCTCTCCCTCCTGCGTTCCAGGGAATACAGTTTTAGGAACCTCAAGCGCTCCCAGTAATTGAGGTGTTTTATCTCCGTTATGCGCGCCGTGAAGGTTCTCTGTACATTTTCTAGGTCAGCAATTTCACCTGCCTTGAAAGGTGCTGTTAGCTCCACTCCACCTTCCCTGCTCTGAGCTTTATCATACCTCATTTTAAGGCTATGTATGGTACGTGCCTCCACAACTTCACTTTCCAGACTATTCCACTTCATGACAACTCTGTGGCTGAAGAAATACTTCATAACTCATCTGGGTCTTCAACTTCCAATTGTGACTCCTTGATGATGTGTCCCATTTCTGCGACGTTGTCTCTGTCCACCTTGTTGATTTCTCTCGGTATTTTGTATGTCGTTATCATGTTACCGTGTCCATCCTGCCCTCCAGTGTCATTAGATTGATTTCTCTTAAACTCTGCTCGTAGGACATGCCCCTTAGCTCCAAGACTTGTCTCGCTGCAAACCTTTGCACTTTCTTTAATTATTTCCTGAAGTGCTTGGCCAGGTGAGCGTTCCAAACTGGAGCTGCATACTTCAATATGAGCCTGACTTACTCGGTGTACAGGGTCTGGAACGCCTCCTTACTGAGATGTCTTGAGTGAGGTTTGTAATCTTTGGTCCCTTAGACTGTCCTCTCTCTGCGGTCTTCTTTGCCCTTTCTCGAACTTCATGACTTTGCACTTGGTAGGGTTGAACTCCAGGAAACATTTGCTGGACCAGGCCTGTAGCCTGTCCAGATCCTGATGTAGTCCTGCCTTATCCTCATCCTATTGAATTCTCCACATTAACTTCACATCATCTGCAAACAGGGACACTTCTGAGTCTATTTCTTCCGTCATATCATTCACATATACCAGGAACAGTACCGGTCCTAGGACTGACCGCTGTGGAACCCCTCTCGTCAAATGCGACCACTCCTACACCTCGTCACATACCATGATTCGCTGATGCCTTCCCGTCAGGTATTCTCTGATCTACTGCATTGCCTTCACTGTTATACCTGCATTGTGCTCCAGCTCTTGCACTATTTTTTTGTGCGGAACTGTGTCAAAAACCTTCTTACAGTTTAAGAATACGCAGTCTACCCATCCCTGTCTCTCTTGTCTTACAGCTATTACCATCTTACAAAATTCCAGTAGGTTTGTGACACAGGGTTTCCCGTCCCTGAATCTGTGCTGGTTGTCACTGATAAGCTCATTCTCTTCTAGGTGCTCCACCACTCTTTTGATAATCTTCTCCATGACTTTGCATACAATACATGTTAGTGACACTGGTCTGTAGTTTAATGCTGCGTGTCTGTCTCTTGCTTTTTAAAGAAATTGGAATTTCATTTGCTGTCTTTCATACTTCAGGTAGTCGCCCTGTTTCAGTAGATGTGGTGAAGACTGTTGTTAGTGGTACACAGAGCGCTTCTGCTCCCTCTCTCAGGACCCACGGAGAGATGTTTTCCTCCATCATCGCCTTTGAGGTATCTAGTTCACTTAGCAGCCTCTTCACCTTCTCAACGGTTGTATGTATTGTGTCCAGCACTTGTTGTTGTATCCCACCTCTCCATCTTTCTTAACTCATTTCTGTCTCTGCTGTGAATACTTTTTTGAGTCTCATGATCATCTTCTCACATACTTCGCGATGACTTCTTGTGATCTCCCCTCCTTCCTTTCTCAGCCTGATTACCTGGTCCTTGACTGTTGTTTTTCTCCTGATGTGCCTATACAACAGCTTCGGGTCAGACTTGGCTATCGCTGCTATGTCATTTTCGTATTGTTTTTGGGCCTCCCTCCTTACCTGTGCCTATTTATTTCTTGTTCTTCGACTATTCTCCTTGTTCTCCTGGGTCCTTTCCCTTCATACTTCTTCCATTCCCTAACGCACTTAATTTTAGATTCTCTGCACCTTTGGGTGAACCAAAGGCTCGTTCTGGCCTTGGTATTACGTCTGTTGCCCTTGGGTACAAACCTCTCATCTGCTTCCTTGCATATTGTTGTCACGTATTCCATCATCTCATTTACTGTTTTCCCTGCCAGTTCTGTCCCACTAGAACTTGTGTAAGAAATTCCTCATGCCTGTGTAGTCCCCTCTCTTCTAGTTTGGCCTCATTCTTTCTACCCTTTCTGCCTTTCTCTCCACTTGTAACTCTGTGCATTCGAATCTTAGAACCACGTGATCACTAGCACCGAGGGGCCTTTTCTATGTGATGTCCTCAATATCTGCACTGCTCAAGGTGAATATTAGGTCCGGTCTCGCTGATTCATCCTCTGCCCTCTCTCTGGCAGTATTCCTAACGTGCTGATTCATGAGGTTTTCCAGTACCACCTCCATTATCTTAGCTCTCCATTTTTCTGGACCCCCATGTGGCTCCACGTTTTCCCAATCGATTTCTTTGTGATTGAGGTCACCCATAACCAGTAGCTTTGCCCTGCCTGCATGAGTCCTTCTGGACACTTCAGTCATTGTGTCAACCATCGCTCTGTTATTGTCATAATATTCTTGCCTTGACCTCCTGCTATTCTGTGGTGGGTTATACATTACTCCAGTCACCTCCTAGAGCCCGCCATTCTGAAATGTTCCTATTATGTAGTCCTTTCTCCTGTCTCTTCTCTCCAGTTCCTCAAAATCCCATTGGTTTTAGATGAGCAGTGCCCCTCATTCCACCTTCTCTGTTCCCTCTGCCTTTCCTCTGAATCTAATATCCAACTGGAAAGATGACATCTGTTATCATTCCAGTGAGCTTGGTTTCTGTTAGAGCTATGATGTCTGGTGATGCATCTGTGATTCTTTCATGCCACTCCTCTCACTTATTTGTTATTCCATCAGCGTTGGTGTACCAACACCTCAGTTTCCTTTCCAACACTTTTTCTGGGGGGGTTGTTGGGGAATGGGGATTGGGGGACCTGGCAGGGTGCTATGGGATTCTACATCGTAGTGTGGAGTGGGAGCTGTGGGTGTGGTTTGTGTTGGGATAGTATGTTTGGCTGCAGGGTTCTGAGGGTGGTTCTATGGGTGTTTGTTCATGCAGCTCTTCTCGACTTTGGTTGTCCTCTGCTGACTTTAGCCTTGTCTCTCTTTCTTGCCTCTTCCATCTCCGTGTCCTCTCTCTCAGCTGCTGTCTCTCTGTTCTCGTTCTGTCTTGGTTTAAGAACACCCTCTGGTATTTTATTGATTCCCTTTGCCATGGTTTCTCCTGAAGGATCCTATTCCTCAACGTATCTGTCTTGAAAAGTCAGGGTGTGTGTGTGTGTATGTGTGTGTGTATGTGTGTGTGTGTGTGTGTGTGTGTGTGTGTGTGTGTGTGTGTGTGTGTGTGTGTGTGTGTGTGTGTGTGTATACTCACCTAATTGTACTCACCTAATTGTGATTGCAGGGGTCGATACTCAGCTCCTGGCCCCGCCTCTTCACTGATCGCTACTAGGTCCTCTCCCTCTCTGCTTCCTGAGCTTTGTCATACCTCTTCTTAAAACTATGTATGGTTCCTGCCTCCACTACTTCACTTGCTAGGCTATTCTACTTCCTGACGACTCTATGACTGAAGAAATACTTCCTAACGTCCCTGTGACTCGTCTGAGTCTTCAGCTTCCAGTTGTGACCCCTTGTTTCTGTGTCCCCTCTCTGGAACATCCTATCTCTGTCCACCTTGTCTATTCCCCGCAGTATCTTGTATGTCGTTATCATGTCTCCCCTGACCCTTCTGTCCTCCAGTGTCGTCAGTCCAATTTCCCTCAACCTTTCCTCGTACGACATTCCCCTGAGCTCTGGGAATATGCTTGTTGCAAACCTTTGTACTTTCTTTAACTTTTTGACGTGCTTGACCAGGTGTGAGTTCCAGACTGGTGCTGCATACTCCAGTATGGGCCTAACATACACAGTGTACAGTGTCTTGAACGATTCCTTATTAAGGCATCGGAACGCTAATCTCAGGTTTGCCAGGCGCCCGTATGCTGCAGCAGTTATTTGGTTGATGTGTGTCTCCGGTGACGTGCTCGGTGTTATGGTCACCCCAAGGTCTTTCTCCCTGAGTGAGGTCTGTAGTCTTTGTCCACCTAGCGTATACTCTGTCTGCGGTCTTCTTTGCCCCTCCCAATCTTCATGACTTTGCATTTGGCAGGGTTGAATTCGAGAAGCCAGTTTCTGGACCACATGTCCAGCCTGTCCAGGTCTCTTTGCAGTCCTGCCTCATCCTCATCCGATTTAATTCTTCTCATCAGCTTCACATCATCTGCGAATAGGGACACTTCAGAGTCTATTCCTTCCATCATGTCGTTCGCTTATATCAAAAATAGCACTGGTCCTAGAACTGACCCCTGTGGGACCCCGCTCGTCACAGGGGCCCACTGTGATACCTCTTCACGTACCATGATTCGCTGTAGCCTCCCTGTCAGGTATTCCCTGATCCATTGCAGTGCAATCCCTGTTATATGCGTCTGATCCTCCAGTTTCTGCACTAATATCTTGTGGGGAACTGTGTCAAAGGCCTTCCTGCAGTCTAGGAAAACGCAATCAACCCACCCCTCTCTCTGGTGTCTTACTTCTGTTACCTTGTCATAAAACTCCAGAAGGTTTGTGACACAGGATTTTCCTCCAATGAACCCATGCTGGTTTTCATTTATAATCTTGATCCGTTCCAGGTGTTCCACCACTCTCCTCCTGATAATCTTCTCCATGACTTTGCACATAATACATGTCAGAGACACAGGTCTGTAGTTTAGTGCCTCATTTCTGTTTCCTTTCTTAAATATAGGGACTACATTTGCTGTCTTCCATTTCTCAGGTAGTTGCCCAGTTTCAAGGGATGTGTTGAAGATTGTGGTTAGGGGCACGCACAGCATCTCTGCTCCTTCTCTAAGGACCTAAGGGGAGATGTTGTCCGGTCCCATCGTCTTTGAGGTATCAAGGTCACTTAGCAGCTTCTGCACCTCCTCCTTGGTTGTTCGTATGCCATCCAACACTTGTTGGTATATTCCCTCTTGATGTTCCCTTCTGTGCTGTCTTCCCAGAGCCCTTCCTGTCTCTACTGTAAAAACTTCCTTAAATCTCCTGTTTAGCTCCTCACATACCTCCTGATCATCTCTTGTGAGTTCTCCACCTTCTGTCCTCAGTCTGATTACCTGGTCTTTGACTGTTGTCTTCCTCCTGATGTGGCTATACAACAGTTTAGGGTCAATCTTGATTTTCGATGCTATGTTATTTTCATACTGTCGCTGGGCCTCTCTCCTTACCTGTGCATGCTCGTTCCTGGCTCTGCGACTGATCTCCCTATTTTTATGTGTTCTCTGCCTTCTGTACTTTTTCCATTCTCTATTGCACTTTGTTTTTACCTCCTTACACCGTCGGGTAAACCAGGGGCTCGTTCTGGTCTTCCCATTGTTTCTGTTGCCCTTGGGAATAAACCTTTCAACTGCCTCCTTGCATTTTGTTGTTACATATTCCATCATTTCATTTACTGGCTTTCCTGCCAGTTCTCTGTCCCACAGAACGTCCTGCAGGAAGTTCTTCAACCCTATGTAGTCCCCTCTTTTATAGTCAGGCTTTTCCCATTCAACTCCTGTTACTCTCACCACTTGCAACTCTACTATGTATTCAAAGCACAGAGCCACATGGTCACTAGCTCCTAGGGGACTCTCATATGTGATGTCCTCAATGTATGAACTGCCCAGGGTGAACACAAGGTCCAATCTTGCTGGTTCATCATCCCCTCTCACTCTGGTAGTGTCCTTAACATGTTGGTGCATGAGGTTTTCCAGCACCACATCCAACATCTTGGCTCTCCATATTTCGGGACCCCCATGTGGCTCCAGATTTTCCCAGTGAATCTCCTTGTGGTTGAAATCCCCCATAACCAGCAACTTTGCTCTGCTGGAGTGAGCTCTTCTTGCCACCTCAGCAAATGTGTCCTCTGTTGCTCTCTTCATATTCCTCTCTTGGCCTCCTGCAGTTCTTTTCTCATGATCTGGTATCCTGGTGGGAAGACTGCATCTGTTATTGTCTCCGTGAGTTTTGTTTCTGTAACTGCTATGATGTCTGGGGACTTCTCATTGATTCTTTCTTGTCATTCCTCATATTTATTCGTTAATCCATCCGCATTTGAGTACCAAACCTTCATCTTCTGTTCTAATACTGTAACTGTGGTCCTGGGGGAATACTGGGGTTGGGAGAGCAGGAGCCCTGGTGGGGGCCTGTGGGGGGTTGCACTGGAGGTGGAGGAAGAGCTCCCATAGGGGGTTGCTGTAGGGGAGAGGTTCGTGGTGTGGGGGGGTGGGAACAGAGGGATCGGTGTGTGATGGCTGGTTTGGGTTGTTCAGTTGCCTTGGAGGTGTCGTGGCTGGAGTCCTTCTGCAGGTGTTTCTGGGGTGTGTGCTTGTCCTTCCACCTGTTCCTGGGTTATTCTGCTCTCCTTTTTCATTTCCTCCCATTCCTCCTTTCGTTTTTGCACTCTCTCTTTCAGTATCATCCTTTCCTCCTGTGTTCTGTCTCGATCGAGGTACACACTCATGAACTCCTGTTTGCCTCTCAGCCGTGTTTTCTCCTGCAGGATCATGGTTCGGGTTGATTCTGCCTTGAAAATTACTTTGAGAGGCAGATTCCTTTTCTTTGTGAACCACCCGATTCTCCGAAAATTTGCCACCTGAGTCATGTCTCCCTCGCCTATCACCTTCATGATACCTTCAATCGCTTTTTTCTCCTCCTGCTTTCTTTCCTCATAAGTTTCCTCTTTAGCTTCGTCTAGCCCATAGACAAAAACTGATCTCTCCCTATCCACCTCCCACTGTGACTCCCATTGCATCCTCTGAGGTGTTTTAGTTCCTTCCCGTGGAGTGTTCCTTCCTTCAGTCCCTTCCCTAGCTGTGGCCCCTATGCTCATTGGTTTGTCCTTCCTATGTGTGTGTGTGTGTGTGTGTGTGTGTGTGTGTGTGTGTGTGTGTGTGTGTGTGTGTGTGTGTGTGTGTGTGTGTGTGTGTGTGTGTGTGTGTGTGTAAAATATTATTTACCTCGTTTTCGTTATTATCACCAGAGAGTGTGGGGCATCAAGGATCATTATATTTAATCCTCATTTAAGTATGTGTAACAAAAACCACATCACCTGATGTTAGCTGTGTCGTCGTTGATAATAACCAACATAGAGTTGAGGTTGGACAAGGTTGTGTGGAGATCCTGCAGCTCCATGAGGCGAGAGTGAGTGAGGATGAGGAGCCTCGTCGACCACACCATGAGGCGCCCCTTGACGGACCACTTGACGAAGGCGGCGAGGAAGGTTGCCTCGTCACTTATCACCACAATTGTTATATGTGATGACAACTTCCGCAGCTGTTCTATCAGAAATTTTAATTAGTAATCTCCATAAACTGTTAAGGGGAGGAGGTTCACCAACTTTAATTGCAATGGAAACAGCTTTAGTATCAGTATGAACGAACTAACTTCCACAGTTTTACACAAAACACAACACACATAGATTTACCGTTGTAAAAGAAAAAAAAGTGCTATCCTAAACATAATCTCGAGTCTAATAAACAACTTACCATCTTAACATTATCAAACAACAGTGAGAGGTGCTCGTCCCACAGGTTGAAATGAGAGCCATTAATTACTGCTTCAAATAACCCAACTCCTCCTGGAAACCGCAGATGATCTGTTATCTGAAAGGAAAAATATAATATATTATGCGAAACTAATATATTGTTTTTAGCATGATCCGAAAATACATCCTGCAGATCTTCGTAATGACATAAATTGTGAAACAACGTCATTCCACAGAACTTTGAGTCATACAATTTCTTACAGCAGATAATAACACTATGTAACAATTTTTGTTACTGGAAAGTTTTATTTTCCAACTCCATTTATTGCAAAACAATGGAAAATGCCCATTATTCCTTTTAAACTTTGGTTTTGTGGCTTAAAGCTTGAATTTTTGACAAAAAAATGGCTAAATTTCAATTTTTTTTTGCTAGTTTTGGATGTAAAACAAAAGCATATAACAGAATAAATAAAATTTACATAAAATAAAATTTACACACATTTGATTTTAAACTTTCTGAAACATATTTACAAAGTAAAAAATGAGCAGTTTTTCTAGATTTGCGAGCAGCAACAAATCACTTTCCCGTTTAAGCCCCCAAATGTAATCTGCCATCATGTTTCCATCATACCATCCCTGATATCTGTGTTCAAAATCCATTATATCTTGGTGGATGCGCTCCCCTTTCACCTCTGAGTATGCTCCCATATTCTCCTCGAAATTGTCAAGATGAGCATCAAGGATATGGACCTTAAGGGACATCCTACAGCCCATCTGACCACTGCATTTTTGCAAAGTCTCAAGAACTTCCACATAACTGTCAGCCTTGTTGTTGCCCAGAAAGCCCTGTGCTACAGCAACAAAACACTCCCAGCCTTCCGTTTCCTTCTCTGTGAGCTTCTTTGGAAATTCTGAGCACTCTATGATTTTCCTGACTTGAGGTCCAGTGAAGATGCCAGCCTTCACCTTTGCTTCTGATAGCTTGGGAAAGAAGTCTTGAGGATACTTGAAGGCTGCATATTCTTTGTCAAAAGATGTAACAAACTGTTTCAGTAACCCTAGTTTGATGTGTAATGGAGGGAACAGAATCTTTTGAGGACCCACCATTGGTTTGTATTTGATATTATGTCTTCTTACTGAGAACTCAATCCTTTGAGGCCAGTGCTTTCTCTGGTAATGTGCTGCTCTGAAACTTGGTAAAATCTTCTTGGAGTCTCATCAATAATGCCACCATTTTGAAGTCTCCAATTACCTCCCAGCCATACTTATCATAGTTCGAAGCTTCCAGTAGAAATTTGACACTGTTGTAGTCCTCCTTAAGATGCACTGAATGAGCCAAGGGAGGAGGAGGATATTTGTTCCCATTGTGCAGAAATACAGCTTTTAGGCTTCTGGAGGAGCTGTCAATGAAGTCTCCACTCATCTGGATTGCATGCAGTTCCAATTGCATCAAACAGGCCTGATACATCATTACAGTTGCACAACCTGTCTTCATTAGTGAAGAAGCTTGAGAAATGTTGGTGACGTTTTCCATGGCTTGTCACTTGCACACTTTCATCCACCAAGTCCCACTCCTTGAGCCTTGAAATCAAAAGCTCAGCATCTGACTTTGTCAAACCAAAATCTCTGATAAGGTCATTGAGGTCTGTTTGGTTTAAGTAGTAAGGATTCCTCCCAACAGCTGCACTGTGCTCTTCATTTTCTGATTTACTGCTTTCTTCTTCTTACGGTTGACTTCTTTTCGGAGGTGTAGGTACAGGAAGATCAGCACTGTGTGGTACTGGTGCAATAGAAAAAGGTAGGTCTGGATAAGAAACAGCAGGTGCATTTTTCCCAGTTCGGTGTTTGGAAGGATCCACCAGGCAGAAGTAGCAGTTGGTTGAGTGATCAGTGGGTTCACGACATATTCTAGCAACACCAAACTTCATGGTTCATTTCTCTCCTCTATACCATCCTGTAAAGGAACAAAAGAATTAGTTTCTGTAACATACATTTCATTTAAAAAATGTTCCAATTCAAGAGTTTACTCTTTATATAACTAATGACTTTCTTCCCTTCCAATGTTTTCTTACAATGTTCACAAGCAACATGAGGCACCCAGGTCTTGTCTTGGTCCCCAACTGGCGTGTCAAAATATACTTTGTAAGCTTCACACATTTTTTTAGATACTGTTGCAGAGAACTTCTCTGCTCTTGTCTTAATGAATTGACCACATATGTAGCAGAATAAATTTAGAGAATGACTGCAGTTTAAAGGCTGTACTTCTCTACAATGGCAACACAGCTGCATCTATGCCAATTGGCCACAGTGTTCAAATGTCAGAAACTTACGCAAATATGAAGACCAGATAAGTACCAGATTCACAATTTTCTAATTTGTGGTGATTTAAAAGTTATTGCTCTTCTACTAGGTCTTCAAGGCTTATACACCAAGTATCCCTTTTTTCTGTGTTTGGGATAGTAGGGCAGACAGCAAGCACTATGAACAAAGAGAATGGCCACCAAGAACCAGCTTCTTACCAGGAAATCACAACGTGAAAACTGTGCCACTAGTTAGATAAGATAAGATAAGATTTCGTTCGGATTTTTAACCCCAGAGGGTTAGCCACCCAGGATAACCCAAGAAAGTTAGTGCGTCATCGAGGACTGTCTAACTTATTCCGGTGGGGTCCTCAATCTTGTCCCCCAGGATGCGACCCACACCAGTCGACTGACACCCAGGTACCTATTTGCTGCTAGGTGAACAGGACAACAGGTGTAAGGAAAAGTGTCGAAATGTTTCCACCCGCCGGGAATCGAGCCCGGGCCCTCCGTGTGTGAAGTGGGAGCTTTAGCCACCAGGCCACCGGCCCAAGAAAATTCTGCTGCCACCACTCCACATCAAATTAGGGTTTATGAAAAATTTTGTGAACGCCTTGAACAAGAATGAAACTGCTTTCAAGTACTTGGAGTCAAAGTTTCCTCGTATAAGTGAAGGCAAGCTAAAGGCAGAAATCTTTGTTAGCTCTCAGATTCGGGAATTGATGAAAGACAAGCATTTTGATGAAGCATTAGCAGATGTCAAGGTGAATGCCTGGTTTTTATTCAGGCAGATTGTCCACAACTTCCTGGAAAACAGACCCTCCCACGAATATGAAAAAAATATCCAAGACCTCATTTCAAGTTTCCATGACCTTGGGTCTAGAACGAGTGGAAAGACGCACTTTTTGCCCTAAAATCTTGACAGTTTTCCCAACAATTGTGGGGACTACAGTGAGGAACAAGGAAAGCGGTTCCATCAGAATATTTGTACCATGGAAACTCGATACCAGGGCACATGGAATATCAGCATGATGGCGGATTATTGCTGGTCATTAAACGTAATGGTCTCGATGCACAGCACACGCGAAAATCAAAGCAGTCCTTCATTTGATTCAGTATGTAGGCTAACCATTAGCAGCACATTTTTTTAATAAAATAATTTTATTTGATTCATGTTGATTTGGAATTTATATGTTCTTAAAAGTAACATAATGTGCTTTTCCATGATTACTTTCCTAATTTTAATAAATTAACAATATATTAAAAATTCACATTTTTGATCAATAATTTGTATTTTATTCAAAATCCTTACGTGATAGAGCAAAATGGTTTAGATATTAACAATCAACAGCCCAAGAATATTTAAAATCGCAACCATAAATAAAATTAAAAATGAAAAATATTCCAAAATGCAGACCAGTGCTATGATTTGTGCCTCTCGCCCATATAATCAGTATACTGGTGAGTAAACAAAAGCAATGATATATAATATTTTAACTACAAAATATTTTCCATTCTCACATTATAACATTGTATAATACAAAACCCTGCGACACTTGCCATGAAGACAGTGGAGGGTGAGGTAGTGCCGTCCGTAATGAAAATTACAGAGTAGCTGCCATGTTGTGTTGAGGTCAACACAGCCTCCACCACCTGTGTGACCAGCCAAGCCTCCATCACCTGTGTTGAGAGACCAGTCTGCTGCAGGCGCATCATGGACCACTTCATATCCTGTTTACCTGTTGAGAAAATGAAGATTTAATTTTTAGTTTTATGCCATCGTGTGTTTTAGAATCAGGAACCTAACTGACTAAATGCAGCTAATTTTTCACCTAATGTTGTGAATATCTAGTACGAAATAAAATGGGTTAAGACGTGACTCGTTCTTAAAATAACAAAACACAGACACAGACACACACACACACACACACACACAGACACACAGACACAGACACAGACACAGACACACACACACACACACACACACATAATATATATATATAATATATATATATATATATATATATATATATATATATATATATATATATATATATATATAATTTTTTTATTTATTATCACACCGGCCGATTCCACCAAGCAGGGTGGCCCGAAAAAGAAAAACTTTCACCATCATTCACTCCATCACTGTCTTGCCAGAAGGTGCTTTACACTACAGTTTTTAAACTGCAACATTAACACCCCTCCTTCAGAGTGCAGGCACTGTACTTCCCATCTCCAGGACTCAAGTCCGGCCTGCCGGTTTCCCTGAATCCCTTCATAAATGTTACTTTGCTCACACTCCAACAGCACGTCAAGTATTAAAAACCATTTGTCTCCATTCACTCCTATCAAACACGCTCACGCATGCCTGCTGGAAGTCCAAGCCCCTCGCACACAAAACCTCCTTTACCCCCTCCCTCCAACCCTTCCTAGGCCGACCCCTACCCCGCCTTCCTTCCACTACAGACTGATACACTCTTGAAGTCATTCTGTTTCGCTCCATTCTCTCTACATGTCCGAACCACCTCAACAACCCTTCCTCAGCCCTCTGGACAACAGTTTTGGTAATCCCGCACCTCCTCCTAACTTCCAAACTACGAATTCTCTGCATTATATTCACACCACACATTGCCCTCAGACATGACATCTCCACTGCCTCCAGCCTTCTCCTCGCTGCAACATTCATCACCCACGCTTCACACCCAAACCTTTGGGAGAAAGTTCTGGGGTTCGGGACCACTCTTTTTTTTTCCCTGTTGGAAATGAAGTTTTTTTTTAGTTTTATGCCCTGTTTTTAAATAAATAATATAAATTAATTTTTATAATTTTATATTATAAAATAAAATTTTTTAATTTATTTTTTAAAATAAAAAAAAAAAAAAAAAAAAAACAAAAAAAAAAAAAAAAAAAAAAAAATTTATTATATATTTTATATATATTAATATTATAAATATTTTATATAAATTATTAAATTAATAAAAATATTTATAAAAAATTATTAAAATTATATAAAATGTATAAAATTATATTAATAAAAAAATTTAATTTTATATAAATTTTAAAATTATATATAATTTTACAAAAGGGCTTTTTTCACAATTCTAAAAAGACCATTGTATGCCCCCCCAAACAGGCACTCGTATTACACAATTTACATAACAAGTCTTGTATGCCCCACCAACGGGTGCTGTATTTACCAATTACAAAAACAAGTCATTGATGACCACCAACGGGTGCGGGTATTACAAACTTACAAAATAAATAAATGGAAAAAAAATACCAACAAGGTATAAACACAATTTTCATATAAGTACTTTTTTGACATTTCCCCAACGGGGCAAAGTATTCAATAAAGGATACATTTATACTCTTTTGGTTTTACCAAAACTTACAAAAACAAGTACATTTTTGACTCCCAAACGGGGCTGGTATTTACAAAATTTTACATAAACAAGAAATTTGATGACCCCCAACAGGTGCTGGTATCTACAAATTACAAAACAAGTAATTGTTGACCCCCAAACGGGTGTTTGGTATCTACACAATTAAATAACAAGAAATTTTGTATAAAATACCAACGGTGCTGTATCTACAAACTTACAAGCAAGTACATTTATGACCTACCAACAGGTAGGGTTTTACACAACTTCATATACAAGTACATTTTTATGACCAAAAACAGGCTGTATCTAACAATTTAATATACAAGTACTTTGTATAAACCCCCAAAAAGTTTGGTATCTACACAACTTAAAATTCAAGTACATTGTATGACCCCCCAAAAAGGGTGCTGGTATTTACCAACTTAATATAAAAGTACATTGTATGACCTCCAACAGGGCTGGTATCTACACAACTTCATTAAAAAGACATTGTATGCCCTACCAAACAGGGTTGGGACTACACAACTTACTATACAAGTACATTGATGACCCCCAAAGGTGCTGTATTACCATTTATATACAAGTACTTGTATGACCTACCAACGGTACTGGTATTACACAACTTACATAAACAAGTAATTGTATGACCCAAAACAGGGGGAAATTACACAATTACATATACAAGAAATTTGTATGACCTACCAACAGTGTGGTATCTACAAATTCATATACAAGTACTTGTATGACTACCAACAGGTGCGGATTACAAAATTTTACAAAACAAGTAATTGTATGACTACCAACAGGTGCTGTTCTACACAACTTACATATACAAGTACATTGTATGACCTACCAACGGGACGGGATCTCACAACTTCATAACAAGTACTTGTATGACCACCAACAGGCCTGTATCTACCAACTTACTATACAAGTAATTGTAATGCCCTACCAAAGGTTTTGGGTACTACACAATTACATAACAAGTACATTTTTGACCCCCAAAGGTGTGGTATTACACAACAAAATTACAAGTACATTGTATGACCTACCAACGGGTGTGGTATTACCAATTACTATACAATAAATTGTTGACTCCCAACAGGTTGGATCTACCAATTACAATACAAGTACATTGTATGACCCAAAACAGGTCGGGTATTACAAACTTAATATAAAAGTACATTGTAGCCTCCCAAACAGGTACTGGTATCTACACAACTTACAAAAAACAAGTACATTGTATGACCCCCCCAACAGGGTGGATTACCAACTTACTATACAAGTCATTGTATGCCCAAACCAACGGTGTTTGGTTCTACACAACTTACATATACAAGTCATTTATGACTACCAACAGGTGCTGGTATTTACCCCCTTTACAAAACAAGTACATTGTATATTCCCAAAGGTCTGGTACTCCAATTACATATAAAAGTACATTGTATGCCTACCAACAGGTTGGTATCTACACAACTACATATACAAGTTTTGTTGATTCCTAAAAAAACAGGTGGGTATTACACAACTTACATATACAAGTTTTTTTGTATGACCTACCAACGGGTCTGTATCTCCCCAAAATTACATATACAAGTACATTGTATGACCAAAAACAGTGCTGGTATCTACACACTTACATTAAAGTACTTTGTATGACCTACAAACGGGTCTGGTATTCACAAACTTACAATACAAGACATTGTATGACCTACCAACAGGTGCTGGTATTACACACTTACATTACAATACTTGATGCCTCCCAACGGTGGGTATCTACACAAATTAATTACAAGTACTTTGTATGACCTACCAACAGGTGCGGGTATTACACACTTACATATACAATAATTTTTATGACCTACCAACAGGTCTGGTACACACAACTTAATACAAGTACATTGTAACCCACCAACAGGTGCTGGAAATCTACACAACTTACATATACAAGAAATTGTAGACCTACCAACAGGTATGGTTCTACACAACTTACTAACAAGTACATTTATGCCCTACCAACGGGTGCGGGTATCTACACAACTACATATAAAGTCATTGTATGACTACAAAGGGCTGATATCTACCAACTTAATATAAAAGAAATTTGTTGCCCACCAAAGGGCTGGTATCTACAAACTTACTTACAAGACTTGTATCCACCAAAGGTGCTGGTATTTTACAAATTACATGTAAAGTACATTGTAGACCTAAACAGGTTGGGGTATCTACAAAAATTTACAATACAAGTACATTGTTTACCTCCCCAACGGGTGCTGGTATCGCACATCTCCCCAACACACAACCAGACAATGGAAACATCACCCCACCATATACTCGTCATCCTCTTTATGAGACACTCACGAAAACATAATTTTTTTGAATATATTGATAAAAATGAAACATTGTTTTTAGCAGGTGTTTGTGCGTGCGGCGTGCCGCGCGCGCTCGTGTGTTTGTGTGTGTGTGTGTGTGTGTTGTGTTTTGTGGTGTGTGTGTCTGGGTGTGTGTGTCTCACCTTTTTGTACTACCTATTTTGGTTCGGGGTCGAGTCCAGCCCCTGGCCCCGCCCTTCGCTGATTGTATGGGTCCTCTCTCCCTGCCCCATTAGCTTATCATCCCTCGTTAAACTAGTTTTTGGTTCCTGCCTCCACAAAAATCACTTTCAGGCTTTCCCATGGTCTGCACTCTATGACTGAAGAAATACTTCCTAACATCCCTTTGATTCTCGATTTTCAACTTCCAATTGTCCCCTCTTTGCTGTGTCCCATCCTGGAACATCCGTCTTTGTCCACCTCGTCTATTTCCGCGCAGTATTTTATATGTCGTTATCGTCTCCCGACCCCCCTTTCCCTCCAGTGCGTCAGGCCGTTTCCCCTAAACCCCTTTCTTCATGGGACAACCCCCTAGTTTAATTTTCTTGACGTGCTTGACGGTTTGGGTTTCCCAAACTGGTGCTGCATACTCCAGTAGGGCCTGCGTGATGGTTTAGAGAGTCTTAAACGAATCCTTAGAGGTTCGGAACGCTATCCGAGGTTTGCAGGCGCCCGATGCGCAGCAGTTATCTTTTGATGTGCGCCCAGGAATATGTCGGGGTTATACTCACCCCCCATCTTTTTTTTTTGATGAGGTTTTGCAGTCTTAGGCCATCTAAACTATATTTGTCTGCGGTCTTCTTTGCCCCTTCCCCAAACTTAACTTTCATTTGGGAGGGGTTTAAAATTTGAGGCCCGTTTCTGGGGCCCGGGTTGAGCCGTCCAGGTCTTTTGTGCCTGCCTACCCGTCCGATTTTATTCTTCCATTAAATTTAATATCTGCAAACAAAGACCTTCTGGTCTATCCCTTCCCTTTTGTCGTTCACATATACCAAGAAAGCACAGGTCCCAGGACTGCCCCTGGAACCCCGCTTGTCACGGGGCCCACTCTTTACACCTCGTCGCGTACCATGACTCGTTGTTCCCCTCCCTGTAAATATTCTCTGATCCATTGCAGTGCCTTTCCTGTTATGTTGCCGGGGTTTCCTCTAAGCTTTTGCAGTAATCCTCTTGTGAGGAACTGTGTCGAAGGCCTTCTTGCAGTCCAAAAATATGCAGTCGATCCCCCTCTCTCTCTTGTCTTACTTCTGTCACCTTGTCATAAAACTCTAGTAGGTTTGTGACACAGGATTTTCCTTCCCTGAAACCGTGCTGGTTGTCAATTATACACTTGTTTCTTTCCAGGTGCCCCACCACTCTCCTCCTGATGATCTTCTCCATGACCTTGCATACTATACACGTTAGTGATACAGGTCTGTAGTTTAGTGCCTCATGTCTGTCTCCCTTTTTAAAAATTGGGACTACATTTGCCATTTTCCATACCTCAGGGAGTTGCCCAGTTTCAAATGTGTGTGTGTGTGTGTGTGTTTGTCTGTGTGTGTTTGTGTGTGTGTGTGTGTGTCTGTGTGTCTATGTATGTGTGTCTGTGTCTGTGTGTCTGTGTACTCACCTATTTGTGGTTGCAGGGGTTAAGTCACAGCTCCTCGCCTCACTTCGTCGCTGGTCTCTATTAGGTTAACTCTCTCCCTATTACATGAGCCCGTAGCCTGGTGGCAAAGCTCTTTCTTCACACGCTGAGGGTCTGGGTTCGATTCCCGGCAAGGGTGAAAACATTGGGCGTTCCCTTATACTGGTTGTCCATGTTCACCCATCAGTAAAAATGAATACCTGGGTGTAAGTTGACTGGTGTGTGTCGCATCCCGGGACAAAATTGACCTAATTAGCCCGAAATGCTGTACATTACAAGCGGCTTTCTATATAGTAGTATGTCACTGATGTCAGCTAGGCCTGTATACCTTGTACATGTAGAAATAAAGATATCAAACCTATTCTTAATGCTGTATATGGATCCTGTTTCTACTATACCATTCTCCAGGATGTTCTACTTCTTGGTGCCTCTATACTTCCTAACATCAATGTGACTCATCTGAGTTTTCAACTTTCAGTTGTGACCCTTTGTTGCTGTCCTCCATTGTTGTCAAGTTGAGCTCTCCACGGAGGACATTCCTCTCAGCTCCGGGAATAATCTTGTTGCAAACCTTTGCACTTTTTATAATTTCCTGACATGCTTGATCAGTTGTAGGTTCCATTCTTGAGCTACATACTTCAGTATGAGCCTGATTCCTTACCCAGGTATCGAAACGCTATTTTTAGGTTTGCCAGGCGCCCATATGCTGCTGCAATTATTTGGCTGATGTACGCCTCAGTAGATGTTCTCGGTATGATACTCACCCCAAGATCATTTACCATGTGTGCGGTTTGTAGGCTTTGGTCCCCTAGCCTATACTTCGTCTGTTATCTTCTTTGACGTACCATCACTTGTTTCCATTCTGCCAGGTATTCTCTGATCCATTGCTCTCCCTTTCTTGTTATTCCTGCCTGCTCTTCTAGCTTTCGCTCTAATATCTTGTATGGACCTCTGTCGAAAACCTTCTTACAGTCCAAGAAAATGCAGTCTACCCACTTCCTCACCCTCTCTTTCTCTCTCTCTCTCTCTCTCTCTCTCTCTCTCTCTCTCTCTCTGTCTCTCTCTGTCTCTCTCTCTCTGTCTCTCTCTCTCTTGCCTTGCTTCTGTCACCTTGTCGTAAAACTCCAGTAGGTTTGCCTGTGCGTGTGTGTGTGTGTGTGTGTGTGTACTCAATTGTGGCTGCCGGGGTCGAGTCCCAGCTCCCTGCCCCGCCTCTCTGCTGGCCGCTAACAATTTCATTCCTTGCAGCGTGAGCTCTATCATACCTATTCTCAAAACTATGTTTGGATTCTTTTTCTGCCACTTCATTGTCTAGGTCGTTCCACTCTAGACTTAAGGAGTATTTCCTAACATTTCTTTGACTCCTCTTTGCTTTTAACTTCAACTATGACCTCGTGTGCCTGGGACCCGCATCTCAGACTCTCCCTGTCCACCCTCTGAATTCCTCTCAGTATTTCGTGCAACGTAATCGTATCATCTATGGTCCTTCTGTCCTCCAGTGTCGTTAGGTTTATCTCTTCTAGCCGCTTCTCAGAGTTCATGCCTCTCAGCTCTAAAACTAGTTTCCTTGAAAATCTTTGTATTTTTTACAGCTTATTTATGTGCTCTGCCAGAGAGAGGTTCCATATTGGCGCTACATACTCCAAGATGGGTCTGATATATGAGAGTACGTGCGTTTGTACCTACCTTCGTGAGTTTGTCAAGGTCGAGGTGCAACTCGAGGCCCACCTTGAAGCATAATGACACGGGGTCGAACTCTGCCAAAAGTTGAATGTTTGGTCAAGTTTTCTAACACCTGCTGCTTCTGTTACCTATCAGTTAATTCATCAAGAGTTAAAACTACTGCTGTGGGTTGCATCCTGGGTAGGACTTCTAATAAACCCTAATGGAAATAAATCGAGTATGACTTTCTCGGATTATCCTGTGTTATTAACCAGCCGGGATTACTAATTTCAATAAAACCTGTGAGTGGAGGATGACTCCTCAACATCTTCAACTACATAACTACTCTTCTCTACCCTCCAGTGACTGAAGAAATATTTTCTGACATTTCTATTCATGGTACGTCTCGTGGAGGCCTTCATGCTGGAGGCGGTTGATCAGGATACTTAGCTTTATTCTACTCTTCTTCGGATCTTCTTCAAGGGGAGGCTCCTTGACGCGGCGAAGAGGCTCTTGGTCTAAGGAGCCTCGTTGCCTCTTCGTCTTCTTCCTCAGACCGAACCTAATTACCCACCATTCCACTCCACAGCGTCCCATGCTGTTCTCAGTCACGTACTCAGCATCACCTGTAAGGTTCTGCTGTTGTTGTTCATCTCAGCACGGATATTTCAGCAAGTCAGAGGTGAGTTTGTGGTGATTTCTGTGCCCAGTGTGGTAGTTTTTAGCAAGCCACTAACCAGACTGAGAGTCGAAGATCAAAACGAATTTTTTATGAGAGAGCCACAAAATTTGGTTAACACAAGCCTATCCGATGTTATCCTGACGCCAAATGACTTCGCGAACAGGCGAATAAAATAAATGACAATGCCCATGCTCTTGCCCCAGGGCCCAGACTCATGGAACTCCGTTTGTTCATCAAGAACTGCAAGTTAGGGCTATCGTGTTAGGGGCGATCACGGCCTTTATTCCATCCTATGGAGAGGGACATGGACACGCGGGGTCGTCCCACAGTACTAAAAGCCAACAGACATAGCCCCACCTCCACAAAGGGGGCCAGTTAAAGCAAATCAACAGCAAAGAACTACAGAAGATAGCACTAACCTCCCATATCATAAAAATCTTTGGAAAGGGTCCTAAGAGCAAGATCACCACCCATCTTAGAGAAACCCATCAGTTACACAACCCAGAGGCAACATGGGCTTACGAACAGGTCGCTTCGCTCCTGTTGTCTCAACTATTGGATCATACGACAAGGTCCTTAAAGGCACTAGAAGATAAAAAGAATGCAGATGTAATATATACAGGACTTTGCAAAAGCCTTTCGACAAGTGTGACCATGGAGTAATAGCCGCACAAAATGCGTGCTAAAGGGATAAAACAGAAAAGTCGGTCGATGGATCTATAATTTCCTCACTAACAGAACACAGAGAGTAGTCGTTAAAACAGAGTAAAGTCCGAGGCACTACGGTGAAAAGCTCTGTTCCACAAGGCACAGTACTTCGCTCCCATCTTGTTCCTCATCCTCATATACGACATAGACAAGGGATGTTCAGCCAAGCCCGTGTCTGCCTTTGCAGGTTGACACCCGAATCTGCATGACAGCTGTTCTTCCATTGCAGACATTGCAAGGCTCCAGGCGCGACATCACCGACTTTCAGTGGGCTGCAGAAAACAATATGAAGTTCAACGATGAGAATTTCAATTACTAGATATGGTAAACACGAGCCCAAATTAATTCTTTCATCAGAGTACAAAACAAATTTCTGGCCACAAAATTAGATGCCGAAAACCCAACGTCAAAGACCTGGGAGTTATCCATGTCGGAGGATCTCACCTTCAAGGACCAAACATTGTATCAATCGCATCTGCTAGAAAAAAATGACAGGATGGATAAATGAGAACCTTAAAAACTAGGGAGGCCAAGCCATGATGACACTCTTCAGGCGGTCACTTGTCTATCTAGGCTGGAATATTTGCCTGCCACACTAACTGCACCGTTCATGGCAGGAGAAATTGCTGACCTAGTAGAAAATGTACAGAGAACCTTCCACGGAACGCATTAACGGAATAAAACACCTCAAATTTACTGCGGAGTTCTTGAGGTTCCTGAACCTGTATTCCCTGAGAACGCAGCGGGAGAGATACATGACTATATATATACACCTGGAAAATTCCTAGAGGGACTTAGTACCGAACTTGCCACACGAAAATCACTCACTACGAAGAGCAAAGACTTGGCAGACGATGCAACATCCCCCCAATGAAAAGCAGGGGTGTCACTAGCACGTTAAGAGACCATACAATAAGTGTCAGGGGCCCGAGACTGTTCAGCTGCCTCCCAGCATACATAAGGGGGATTACCAACAGACCCCTGGCAGTCTTCAAGCTGGCACTGGACAAGCACCTAAAGTCGGTTCCTGACCAGCCGGGCTGTGGCTCGTACGTTGGTTTGCGTGCAGCCAGCAGCAACAGCCTGGTTGATCAGGCTCTGATCCACCAGGAGGCCTGGTCACAGACCGGGCCGCGGGGGCGTTGACCCCCGGAACTCTCTCCAGGTAAACTCCAGGTATCTTCCACGTGTGTATGGGTGAGGAGGGTAGGCGAGCGGTCCTGGTTCCACCCTGCACACCTCACCCACACTCATCTCACGCCGCCACACTTCACCACTCACCGCTACCTAACCCCTATTTTTAATTTTTTTATTTCTATTATTCATTGTGAATTCTTTTCAGAGCTTGTATTCTTGAGTTTCCGAGGTCACCCGGAAGCCTACGTGGATCACAAAAGGCCAAGTGTGGAAGATACGGCTAAGTGGGCGAGACACGAGGATTATAAACGCAGATCCCAAGCCACATGCTGTGGTCTGCTGCCCGCATCACCAATGACTTGACCATGCTGCCTGCATCACTCCCCTGACGTCAGGACGTCTGCCTGACATTCACCTGGACGTATTGCAGACGTCATCTCGCGACGTCCACCCCGACGCCTTGCCCGACGAAGTCGCGAGGTGACATCGCTTACATCAACACATGATGTCACCGTTGCACGACGTCTACCTGACGCAATGTCACCCTAGTGACATCAACTCACGATGTTATGTCTGACATCACAACAGGTTGTCACATCGGTGGTGCTATAGTTTCACAGTGAGCAATTTGTTTCAGTGTTGTCGAGAAGATTGTGAGAAGATATATGTCACTTGTTAATTCTCACATGTTCGTGTATGGCTTAGTGACGATTTATTCACAGAAAAGTATCATTTGCTAGTGCAAGCCATTTTGTAACTGCATGTGCAGTGCGGGTGTGCGCAGTTTTCCGTATGTCCCTTGTGGTCTGAGCCCAGCTGTGTGTGTCGATCACATTATAGTCTGAACCCTGACCACTCATAGCACCCTCGTGTTACTTATCACCCATTGTAACTGTTGACAGCTGACATTAGTCAGTCCAGACGTTTACCAGTGTCTGAGCTCCCCTTGTCCAGAAAGTTCCACTGCTAGCTGCTCGCAGATGCCCTGCTGAGTCGTAACTGCTACGACTCCTCATTGAGACTCATTTCACTCCACCTCCTAACCATCAGAGTGCAGTTATATGTAGAAAACTAGTCTGAGGACGCTTAGACTAACCTCTGCTATGACTTCAACTGTCGAGAGAATGACATCGTGAAACCTGTCAGCAGGCGACTGTCTGATTTGTGTCACAGATTCAGTGAGAAGCCTGAACAAAGATGTCACTCTACCTGCTAACTCGCTCACTTTAGTTACAGTGTATGCTGCAACGACTCCCTGCCACGACTCACTTCACTCGCCGGCAGTGACAGCCCCAGCGACTGTAGCAGCCGAGAAAGTAATGTTATCACTGAGTCGTTTTTGTCAGTAGAAGTACTGCCAGTTGCTGAGTACGGATGATGCCTCACTCGAGGGCACCTAGATGGTTGTTGACCCAGGATGAGAAGTGAACCCAGCAACAACTACTCGATGACTTATTTCACTGCTTCCAGAGGAGACCATACTCTGTTACGCAAGATCAGAGCAGCGATTTTCCCTCCCTACATTACTGTATCTGTCCGTTGGAAGGATGGCGTTGCAATGTTGCCTCTGTGGTGACTGCCTTGGACCACGATGTTTTAACACACCCAGCCCCCAGTGCCGAATATGTAAAACTGGTCAATTAGCAAGAACTCATTTGAAATTAAGTCCTTTCTAAAATTTTCTCTTATACGTTTAAAGACATATTTTTTTTTCATTAAACAATTTTAATTTTGCACCAAAAGAATCTTAGAAAACTTACCTAACCTTATTATAACAAGTGCAATTTATTTTAGCTTAACCCAACTAAATATATTTTAGATTTGTTTACAATAATTTAATACTAAACAAACACAATGAAATATATTTTTTTTCGTTAGGTTCATAATAAATTTGACGAAATTATTGTATACACAAATTTTCACTTGTCCTATATGGCAAGATGAGCGTTGATATTTAAGCCAACATCGCAAGTTCTGCCTATTCGAGCACTACACACACACACACACACACAACACCACATACACACACACACACACCATCATCACACACAACACACACAACACACACAACACACACAACACCACACAACACACACAACACAACAACACACACACACACACAACACACAAAACACACACAACACACACACAAATATATATATATATATATATATATATATATCTATATATATATATATATATATATATATATATATATATATATATATATTTATATATTATATATAATGCTTTAATCTGTGTTCTGTGCCCTGTGTCCTGCGAGAGATAAACGAGTGTTTTCCGTCAAGCAAGGTTGAGGACGACATGGGTTGTGTTCGAGCAATATGTAGACAGTAAGCATGCATTGCTAGTTTCCATAGTTTCCTCAAGAGGGCAAGCCTCAGTGGGCATACCTAGTTCGACCCACACAACATTTACCCACTTTCATTCGGACACAACTCAACCTAGAGTCAACAAGATCTAGAAAGGAGCACTAGTCCAACATAGTAATCACGCACAAGCGGAGCTAGGTTGTTTAACGTGATCCGAGGACATGCGGTGGTGTGAGTGCCTCAGAGCTAATTTCATCCTACTCCCCGTTTGATGTACTAGCCTCTACAAGCAGTATATATAATATTGTAACCATGAACGAGTGGTATTTAATCAATAACAGCACTGCGACTAGCGAGGACTCGAACCCATGCCCGTTTTGGCCCGCCTCACGGTGGTGAGCGAAAAAATCAACATTGATGCGAAAATTTGTGTATGAAATAATTTCGCATAATCATCTGATCCTTACATAAAAATGTTGTTTCATTGTTTTTGTTTATTATTAAATATTGTCTAAAATTATTACTTGGATTATTGCTAAATTAATTTAGCTTATTTTATTTAAGTGTTAGATATAGTTTTCTTAAAGTTTTATTTGATGCAAAAAATTATTATTTTTGCATTATTAACAGAATTGAAAAAAAAACATTTTGAAATGTATAGGAGTAATTTTAGACGGACTAATTTTAAATGAGTTATTGACCCTGATACTGCAGTTTTACTTATTCTGGCAAGAGAA